CATCTGTAGGTATACTCTAACCTTCAGGTAGTCTGCAGGCATACTTCTGGAATACTGTAGGTATACAATCCAGGTATACTCCTGGTACACTAGGTGTACGGCAGGTATACTCCACATTCACATCAGGTATATTTATACACCAAATATACAACAGGTACACTCTGGGTATACTCTAGGTATACTCCATTGTATAACATCAAATACATTTCTGGCATACACCAGGAATGCACCTCCAGGTATATTGCAGGTATACTCGTCTAAATATCCACCAGGTATACTCATCTAGATATCCACCAGGTATATTCATCTAGATATCCACCAGGTATATTCATCTAGATATCCACCAGGTATATTCATCTAGATATCCACCAGGTATATTCATCTAGATATCCACCAGGTATATTCATCTAGATATCCACCAGGTATACTCATCTAGATATCCACCAGGTATACTCATCTAGATATCCACCAGGTATACTCGTCTAGATATCCACCAAGGTATTCTCATTCAGGTAAACTTCAGGTTAGGTACTACGTTAAATGTTCTATTGATTTTGTAAAGGGTTTGAGGAGCTCACAAAGCTCTTAGTCTTAACCTCTGAAGAGCTTAGTGCTGCTGAGAGAGAGAGAGAGAGAGAGAGAGAGAGAGAGAGAGAGAGAGAGAGAGAGAGAGAGAGAGAGAGAGAGAGAGAGAGAGAGAGAGAGAGAGCAAGCAAGCCTGGTGCCGCTGAGAGAGCGCTTAGTGCCGCTAAGACGATGCAAGTCTTGTATCTCCTGCACCCAGTTAACAGGAATGTTGCAACATATTGCAGGCCGGTTGCTGGTACCGCTACTCCTGATTTGGTGTAGGTGTTGCGTCTCCCCCTCCCCCCCACCCCCCGTCAATCCTTCACTAGATACCTTCCTTCGTGACGTACAATCTCCAGTAGAATCTAAATCCTGAGGACAGTATGCACTCTTCTACGTCATCGCTGGTCTTTACCACACCTACCTAACCAACCCAACTCATTCTATCCCAACCTATCTCATCTAAACCTATCTCAACCCCTAACGTCAATATAAGAGCTCAAATGCTGTGTTTACACGATGTGTGATGTCACTCTGACGTCACGGTTTTCCCATGACGTCATAATGTTCATGGCGGTACAGGTTTTGGACCTGAGTGTGTTGGGTAGCAACAGCCTCTCCCCGGCCCTCAGAGAGGTAACCATAGTAACGGCATCCAGGAAGACGTGGTCGTAAGAGCCTTAAAGAGCCTTAAAGGCTTCATAGTTGTCTGGGGAACATTATTATGACTCGCTTTTGACTTCTCTCCAAACACATGTTATAATTATAAACATTTCTCTTCACACAAATGCGGATAGAGATATAGTTTTGTAAGGTAAGATATTTATGAAGAGAGAGTGCAAAGCCAGTGCAACTAAATAGCACTTGGGAGAGATATGAGGACAAGGAGCTGGGGTGTGAGGACAAGGAGCTGGGATATGAGGACAAGGAGCTGGTATACGAGGACAAGGAGCTGGTATACGAGGACAAGGAGCTGGTATACGAGGACAAGGAGCTGGTATACGAGGACAAGGAGCTGGTATATGAGGACAAGGAGCTGGTATATGAGGACAAGGAGCTGGTATATGAGGACAAGGAGCTGGTATATGAGGACAAGGAGCTGGTATATGAGGACAAGGAGCTGGTATATGAGGACAAGGAGCTGGTATATGAGGACAAGGAGCTGGTATATGAGGACAAGGAGCTGGTATATGAGGACAAGGAGCTGGGATATGAGGACGTAGTGAAAGAACGGTGCCCAACCACGTGGGCCGTCGGGGATCGAACAGCGACTCTGCAAGATATACCCTTAGGTACTAAGTATCCCTTCTCCAAGTCTAGATACACATGTGTTGAACAGCTTGGCCACTGCCGGTGTCGGTGTAGACACCTGTGTCTATACACACCAAGGCCTCACTCTCAGAGCAAGGTCGCAGAATATCTAACACCTGTATGTTAGATATCAAGTATTTTTCTATTCTCTCAGCCTGGCCTATAAGGTAATTGCTTGATATATGAGGCTGTTTGTGTTCGTAATCCACAGGTCCATATATAATATTATATAATCTCCATCACAACCAGCTCGATCCGCTAACTCCGGCAGAAACTTATTGACCTCTTCTGAACCCTCATGGTTCTCTCCTCTCCTCTCTCCTCTCTTCTCTCTCTCTCTCTCTCTCTCTCTCTCTCTCTCTCTCTCTCTCTCTCTCTCTCTCTCTCTCTCTCTCTCTCTCCTCTCTTCTCTTTTCTCTTTTCTCTCTCTCTCTCTCTCTCTCTCTCTCTCTCTCTCTCTCTCTCTCTCTCTCTCTCTCTCTCTCTCTCTCTCTCTCTCTCTCTCTCTCTCTCTCTCTCTCTCTCTCTCTCTCTCTCTCTCTCTCTCTCTCTCTCTCTCTCTCTCTCTCTCTCTCTCTCTCTCTCTCTCTCTCTCTCTCTCTCTCGTTAGTCGATTTGACGCTACTAGATTATATTATTGTCCAGATTTAATAATTCAGAATGATGTTTGAAGTTGATTGATAGCTTTATTTCTTCAGTAATTATACATTTTGAATGCATTGTGGTATGGAGTTGAAATGTATTCTATATAAATTATATTGAGTAACTTAGTTAAAAACAATTGTATTTTCTTAATTGGTTCTTTTAAAGTAGATTTAATGTGATTTTCATGGCTTTCTATAGCTAATTTCTAGTCCTTATTTCTATAACTCCCAGCCTTTTATGTTAGCCTCATTTCCTTTCCAATTTCTGTACCATCCAATTACCACCCTGTCATTAAAACCAGTTTTACAACTCCCCTGCCATATCCTAGAGCTAAGGCTACTCAGCGCAGAGCTAAGGCTACTCAGTGCAGAGGTAAGGCTACTCAGCACAGAGCTAAGGCTACTCAGCGCAGAGCTAAGGCTACTTAGCACAGAGCTAAGGCTACTTGTGAACAAGGAAGAATAATTTAACTAGCTTGACCTCATTCAAACATAAATATTGAACAGTTGCATACCAAGATAGACATAACAAGGCTGACCTTATTAAAACATAAATATTGAATAAGTTAGATATCGTCAGTCTAGACTTGATGAGATCGAACATGACTCAAACAAGAGACAAAAGTTTCAAACTTGTTAAGCTACGACGCAAACCCGAAATTAAACTAAATTTTCGACCCCGAAGATAATATCGATTGAAGGCCTTGGCAGGCCTTCAATCGATATTATCAAGGTCAATTAAGGCCAAAGCAGAGAATGTTACAATAACAGGGCTGAAAACACCTAACCCGATCCAAACACCAATTGACAGGGATGATGTTTCTGTCTATCCTGGACCCTAGTCGAGTCCCTGGGCCCTTGTCGAGTCGTGGACCCTTGTCTAGTCCCCTGGACCCCTTGTCGAGTCCCTAGACCCTTGTCGAGTCCCTGGGCCCTTGTCGAATCGTGGGCCCTTGTCAGTCCTGAAGGCTATGTCAAGTGGTGACATAGTAAAAGTGGGGATAGAAGTCAATACAGTACAAGGCAACAAGGAAGGTGTAGGGCAGTGAGGGTTGAGAGAAGTAAAACAGCAACACTGCTTAAGACTACATCAACACATAAGACTACAAGAATAAAGGCCAGCAATTCAAATTTACAACTTTAAATTTTTCACCCATGATATATATATAGGCATATCCTTTACAAGCCACTGGCTTCCTGTCCCATATATTTGAAACTGTGACAATAGACAGTCTATGTTAATGAAGATGCTGTATTTTTCCTTCAATGTGGTCAGATCAGGTGCAATGCTCTCATGAAGTGTGGTTCTTATCCTTAAACTGTCTAGGATCAGACTGTTGATATGAATGTCAACTCGAGTTAGTCTCGGTTGACATTCGTAATCCCCGGTGTGTTTCTTGGCCACAAGTGCTTGGCATAGCTTCAACAAAGACTAGGGCAGAGGTTCTTAACCTGGGGTATACATACCCCTGGGGTATATGAAAGTTAAATAATCATGGGATGGAACTTGATCTATGAACATTTGAAAAAAAAAAAACATGTTTTGATTGGCCAAAACAACAGAAAAAATCTTATTACAGTAGTTGTAACTATCTTCAACTGGACAGTATTTGTGATCTGTCATTTTTCTACAAATAAATGAGAAAATCCTTATAATTTTCTGTCAGCTGCTCTGATTATATTTATCCATATGCAAAGGAAAACGAAGCTACAGGGTATTGAGATCTTTTGAAATGATACTGGTACGTAACAGTAATTGTGGTGGTGGTGATGATTTTGACAGTCTGGCATAATTCATTGGAGGAATGTTATCTTATAATGGTTAAGAACCCTTATACACAATGAAACTTTAGCTTCCATAATGTTCCCATGTTATATATCAAGGGAGCATTGCCTACACCAGAGTGTAGGCATAGCTTCAAGGTTATGCATGCAGGTTGCATTCATAACCTTGGATTTGGTACCAGCTCAGTACATCCAAACTCCTAGTGAATCTGAGTGGATCCCAGGCTGTGCAACCTGCATGTTATGGTTAATGAGTTAAGGCACACATCTGGGGTTACCCAGGATGCTTGTTCAGTCATCATCCTGCTTCAGGGATTTTCTCATTAAGAACCATGGCAAAGTAATGTCATGAGCCATCAATGAATCCTAGTTTGTTAATCCAACAGTGAGATAAACCATTGGGAAACACTATACTGTAGTTCACACCATATTCTACTGAAGCTTTTCACTTCCTATTAACATTTAATGATATTCTTCCGGCTTGAATTTCAGCTATATGTCCTGGCATTTCAATTTTTGTTTCAGCTTTATCAAGGTAGAGACAGACAGTGGAAGATCAAAATGACATCACTAAATTTCCTTAAAGGATCTGTACTCTTACCTTGATCATGCCAGCTTTATCTTTTGACCTTAATAGACCCTTGTGCATCCCACAGCATGTGCCATTGTAACCATTAATCTCGTTCCCTACAGAGATGGGTCAGCTTGCCGTGCCCTTCAGCAGCTGAGGGGTGCTGTGGAGAAGGAGTCAATGGCTCCTTCACTGAGTTGTGGGCGTGAGATGGGCGTGGGAACACGAGCGGGGCGGGCGCTGGTGGCACGCCTTCCCTACGCCCATCACAAACACCTCCTTACCCTTGCTGACCTCCTCGATGGCTGCCCCAAAGCTGAACCCTTTGTTTACCAGGGTATGTACTGTTGCAAACACCAAACACACTTACATATAGTAAAATACTGTACCATTATTGTCACCATTATTACTCTCCATCATGTTCACACAATCACCACCACTTTTACTGTCACCCTGTAACTTGACACCCAATAATGCTAAATTATCACTGCTGTCCCATAACCACCATCCCATTACTGCCAATAGAGCAATCCACCGTTTAGATTATCCATGTTGAACATAATTCTCCTTCCTATGTAGATATTCACAGCTACATTGGTGGCTCCCTGCAGCCATTAAGATTCTCTTATCAGTTTGGCTTATGCCACAGATATACTGCTAATTTCTGCTTCTGGTTTTAGATATGGGGGTTTATCTTCTCCCAAGTTTTCCTCCTTTTTGATGCAAGAATTGTTTTACCCTTCATTCTTAACTGTACAGGTCTTCTCACTCCTGTTTTTATCTTCATAATTTGCATTAGGAATGAACAAGTTAAATATGATTATTGGTATTCATAGGTCAAATCTTCTCCCCTCCCAGAGGAAAATATTAAACACAAGTGCTCTAATAGAAATTTATTAATTAAAATTATTGAACACAAATGTACTCAATCTAAGCACCAAGACATGTTAAATCAAATGATATCAATATGTTTTGAGTGCTACTGTACTGTGGCATACAACTAGAATTACAGAAAACAAATAGGTAAGTTATCCCAATACAGATATCCCACCATCCAATTCAGAGCATACATAGGCTGCCTCACTTCTCTTCAATGTCTGTAAGAATACAATTTTTTTTTTTAAACAAACTTTTCTACAAAGGGAGTCAGTACATAATAGCTTGCAATTACTGTACAGTACATTGCTCTTGTATAATATATATGCACTTTTGATATTACTCCATCAATGAAATAGTTAACATACATAGTGCTCATGTCTATGAATCTCCATGGAATTTCTGAATTGAAATACAGTAATGCAGTGGTCACAAACACAAGAGACAGCCAACAAAACACATCCTCTTCTTGCCTTGCATGGATAAATACTGAAGTTACCTTGGACATATCTGAACTGTGAAGTGTTGCAACTTCATTGGATGGAAATGAGTCAGTCTTACCTAGAGTTATTAAAAGTTCAGTGACCATTTTACAGACTACCTCTGGAGTATGTCAAGATTCCTTTGCAGGACATCACAGCCTCCCTCTGTTCTAACTCTTATTAGTTTTGCTACATCAGTAAATATAGATACAATGGAGCGATTATACTCTTCTCATGTTGCTGATATATTCCTGTATACTGTCATATTAGGAACAGGATGGATGCAAGAACCAACCCTTGTGGTACTCCCTTCTTACTCTAATTCTCTGGTTCCTTCCTGAGAGGTACTTCATGTGGGACAACATCAAATGCTTTGTAACGGTCAAGGAAAATGCTGTTTCTTATATCTCTCTTGCCTGATTTCCAAGTGGACAAAGACAGGGCCACACTAGAACATCACTACAGTGGTCTATGTTGTCAGCTCATGACTAAGGGTCCCAGGTTCAATGACGAGGCAGGAGAGATGGGTGGGCATGTCTCCTTTCACCCGATGCCTATATTCACTTGGTAGTAAATAGGTACCCAAGATTTATAAAATTGTTGTGGGTTATATCCTAGGAAAAATCAGTAGTTGGTCAAGGTGGATCTTGAAAACCGTAAGTACAGGCCTCTTGTCCCTAACGATAAAGAAACAATATTAGACTGAAAATTTTACATTTCCAAGATAGGTCAGGTTTAATGTAACATTGCAAAAATTGCACATGATTTAAAAGTTAATGAAAAGTCTGTTTTTTCATATAAGGCTATTCTCAAATTACAAAAACATGCATAATCTGTGGAAAAATATTGAAATTATACAATGAAATTGAACCAATGTTTCTGAACTCTTCAGGCATGCACATGCACATACACACACACACTACCAACTGGACTATGATGGGCTTAAAAGCATTTCAAACCCTTAAAGTATCTTGAGCCCATTATGGTGCAGTTGGTACTGCCTCATGTGTTTAGAGATGCAGGCTCAATTCAGTCATTTAGGCTCTCTATTTATTTGTGCAGTATAATCCTATGTACAGTACTGTAAATTTCAAAACCCTTTTTGACCAGAATGTGGTTAAGGTCTAGGGGTGGAAATACAATTTCTAAGTCAGTTTCCAGCAGTGTAAACATTTTGTGGACTACATTTCTATTGCAGTCCTATTGTATTCTATTTTCTAAATCTTGGGTACCTATTTACTGCCAAGTGAATATAGGCATCGGGTGAAAGGAAACATACCCACCCATCTCTCCTGCCTCGTCATTGAGTCTAGATACTACAAAAGCATCTCAAACCCTTAAAGTATCTTGAGCCCATCATGGTGCAGTTGGTACTGCCTCATGTGTTTAGGGATGCAGGCTCAATTCAGTATCCCAGATTCGATTCCCAGGCATGACTGAAATAGTTGAGCGTGTTTCCTTTTGCCTGATGTTCTGTTCACTTAACAATAAATACTGGTAGGTAGCTGTGAGTTGCATCGTGAGAAAGGTCAGAAGGAATATTTTCCTTTATTATACCCTGTCATTCGTTTGTTGGTCACATTACCTCTTACTCTCTGCCTTTCTAGGCAATGTAAATCAAGATTTTTAAATTTCTTCATAGCTTTTCTAATTCCTGGGATTTACGTCGCCATCCATCCCCTGCATCCCTGTGCACATTGACATGAATTTACGTCCAGTCTATATTATGGAGACCAAAATTGAACTGCATAATTTAAATTGGGCCTAACAAGAGAATGATAAAGGTGAAGAATAACATTTAGATGTACTAATATCTAATTGGTCTTATTTTGAACATTTTTACATTGATTTATGGCTTAGGATCCCTAGTAATTATGACTGATTTTGTTCACACATATTGTCCAGTTGATATTTGGTAATTGTTATTATTATTACTACAGTACAGTATTATTAAGACTCCATTCCCTTATTTCCCCTTTTTATAATGAACCCATCCCACCTCATTAATCTTTGAGACCTCTGTGCTTTTACTAGTAAAATATATACATATTTACAGATGCCAAAGTCAAAAGTTTATCCAAATGTCGGGGGTGTGATAGCTTCACCATCTGCAGTCTCTTATTTGGATACGAGGAACAAGAGAACTCTATAGACATAGAGGTGAGTTGAATATCTCAGAGGGAACTGCACATTATACAATTAGCATCTGCAGAACTGATAGTTTATATGCATTAAAAGCATTGTGGTAAATTCTGTAGTATAAAAATATTCTATTGTAATAGGCAGTTTCAGTTATGTTATGAAGAAAATTAGTCAGTGAAAGGTAACATAGTTTGCAAGCAAAAAATCTTGGATTGATTCCCACAGTACAGCAGAGACATTTTGGCCAATTAACTTCTCCTGAGGCCTCTGTTCACCTTGTAGTACTGTAAATGTGTCCTACGAGTTAGGCAACTGTAGTGAGTTGCATTTTGGGAGAGGTCAGTAGCTGACCTAGGGGGACCTTGATCTACGTAACTGGCATCCCCCCAACAATGGAAAACTGTATTGACACTTTTTTTAAGCACAGTGGTACTGGTAGTCAATAGAACACTGCTGCAATTTTTTTTTTAAATGACATGTTCTCTCATTTTAAAAGTACAGTGGAACCTCGATTAATGAATTTAATCCGTTCCGGCACCTAGAAACGCTTCTCTTTCAAAACGAATTTCCCCATTTAAAATAATGGAAATAAAATTAATCTGTTCCATCACTGAAAAACATCAATATGATGTTCAATTTTTTAAATAATGGAGCAGCCCACCTGACATACCTGTACACTGAACAAACCTTTATGACATTTTGTCTTTTTTCAGATTTGTCCATTTTTTTCATTTATTTTATAGAAAAAGGTTCGTTCAGTATATGTCAGGTAGCCTGCTCCAATTTTTTATAAAAAAAAAGAAAAAAAAAGAAAATTGAACAAATTTAAAAAAAAGGAGAAATGTCATAAAGGTTTGTTCAGTGTTTGTCAGGTAGGATGTTGCATTTTGACATTTTTTCTTGTTTTCAAATTTGTTTTGTATTTTTCATATTTTTTATTAATAATGGAGCAGCCTACCTGACATACACTGAACGACCCTTTATGACATTTGTCATAAAGGATGTCATAAAACAAAAACTCGTCAATCAAGATAAATTTTCGCCGAGTGGCGCGCTCATTTGAAATGCTTGTAGATTGAGGCGCTCGTCACGCGAGGTTCCACTGTATTGTTAAATCACTCCATGTATGATACACAATACAATCTATGCAAATATAATCCATTATATATATTTTTTCTGTGAATACAGTACAAAAGAACTCAAGATTAAAAATATACAGTATATACAAGTCACAGTGAACAAGTACAGTAGGAGCCTTGTACCTCTGAAAGCCCACAAGTGAATGGTAAATGCAAGTTTAGTAATGTGCTATACGGTGGTCTATCCTCAGAAGTTCACACCAACAGCCTTACACGTGGCATGTCTGCTGCCACAGCCTGGGCCCCTGGTCAGCAAGCTTCTAGTGTCGAACACGGCTATTAATGAGCCAAACTTGTTGGGCCAGACGCCACTCCATGCCCTATTACTAGGTAAGTTGCTTTCTCACTATTTTAGTACAAATTTTTGCTCACTGGTATGTCATTTCTTAAATTGCAATCAAGCGACCGGGGTTTAGTCCCTGTGCAGAACAGAAATTGGTCTCTTTCACTTGATGCCTGTGTTCACCTAACAGTAAATAGACACCCCAAGAGCTAGGCAGCTGTTGCTGGTTGCATCCTAAGTAATGTCAGGTCTTGACCTTGTGGAATATTGATAAGCATTAAGTACAAGCTTCATGTTTAGAATAACAAAAATTAATATGAACACTAACTTGTAGGCATTCACTTTAACTGAATACAGTACTGTATGTACAGTATATAAGTTTTATACAACTAGTGTAGTTTCAAAAATATAAAATAGGAAATTTTATAGTGCTAACCTAATATAAATTTATTCATTTTTAATACTATATTCATCGATGTTCTATATACAGTATAACATTTACAGTATTTTAATGAAGATGCTGTATTCAAAACAGATAAAAGCTAATTCAGTTTCATATATCATTTATCAATGCTGAAAGTTTAGGAAATTAGGGAGTTTAACCCTGCAACTTTGGTAACACATGGGAACTTTCTTATATTTTTTGGCAGCTTTGTTGCCTTAACTTGAATTCATGCTATCACTCAGATAGAGGTCTAGTAGCTGGGGTCACACACGGGGGGTCTGGTAGCTGAGTGGACAGTGCACGGCATTCGTAATCCTGTGGCCCGGGTTTGATTCCCGGCGCCGGCAGAGACAAATGGACAGAGTTTCTTTCAACCTGATACCCCTGTTACCTAGCAGTAAATAGGTACTTGGGAGTTAGACAGCTAGAAAAACAGTTGGAGTACTGTATCACCTTGGATACTAAAGATATGTGCATCCGAGATTAGCGCCCTGCTACGGAATATCTAACAAACATCCTTGCGAACAGTGAACCTCCCTGACTGATTGAAAAAGACAGTTTCAATCTATAAGAATGGAAATAGGGAAGACTTGCTAAACTATAGACTTGTATCATTGACAGGTGTGATAGTAAAAGCACTAGAAAAAATTATTAAAATCAAATAGACAGAGTGCCTGGAAAGTAACAACAAAATAATAGACAGTTTGGTTTCAAATTGGAAGGTCTTAACAAATCCACTCAAGAGCTTCAAGCTTGATCCATTTATGAAATCTTAAGTGCAAGTATGGTGTGACGATTGAGATGCAGTGGTATACTGTGGTACACCACAGTATACCTAGGTACCTAGGGGGTACCTCGGTAAGCATAACAGGCTTCCTGTCCCCATTAATGGAAAACCTTCATCACCTGTCATAAATATTTCTCTGTACAGCATTTCTGAATTTCACTTATCTAAAATAAAAGAACTGTTTCTCCCGAATTCATTATCCCTGTAGGCTTTGTAGGTTAATATAAATTTACTACTGTATTGTGCTACAATACACACCTCAGTAAAATTTCATAGTGATGATTGAATAATTTCAGTTCAAGAAAGATCTGTGTAAATATTGGTTTGGAAACAGAGTTGTTGATTTGTGGATGTATGGACCATGCAGTCGCCAAGATCAGAAACTCGGGATGGGAAATAGCATGCCCTCACCTGGGTCAGTAAACTCAGGATGGGTTACCACATTCGGCAGCCATGGTTGGTAAACCTGGGATGGGGAATGACATGCCAGTTGCCAAAACTGCCAGTTCCAGGGATAGTGGCTTTATTAATTTTTAATTTGTGTAGCAACTATTCAACCATTGTACCATGTTCTTCGGTATATTTTTAAATATAAATTATTATTATAGTATTATTATTATTAATAATAAGTATACAAATGAATTTTGGTGGATAGAAATTGGAGGTGCCTCGCACGAGCCAATTGGAACTGCCATGCTGCCTCGCATGGACAGTAGGCCTACAGTATACTTTATTTTTATGTTCTAATGTATAATAATCATCTCGTATTGACAGCACAAATTTCTGGTCACAGGTGAGGTGTGGAGTAGCAGTGTGGTGGAAGCACTAAACACCCTGGTAGCACATGGTGCTGATGTTAACTGTAAAGACATCTCTGGGGAGACTCCGCTACACACTGTGCGAAATCTCCTGCGGCAAGGCCTCTACGACAGAGCTGCATACATCGCTCGCTTGCTCCTCCAGGCTGGTGCACATGTCGACGCTGCCAACAATGAGGTAAATATCACATAATGGTCAACTGTAATTCTACAATTGCCACTTTAATGATGAGGGTTCAAAGGTTCTGAGCCTAATACGTAAACTGAACCTGCCTCAGTAAGGCTGAAGTGTATACGTGGATGAAAAGGTATAACAAGGGTGATATTAATAAAGTATTAAAGATATTGACATAAAATAGAACACAAAACTAGATATAAACTGGACAAGTTTAAATTCAGGAAAGAATTGTCTGGTACTCCAAAAATCTCTCGCATATATTTATGGGTTTTCATACCCCTAGGTTGAGAATCCCTGGCCTAGAGGAAACTAGTCATAAACAACACAAACTAACATAGCATAATTTTAATAATTATTTATAAGCCTCATCAGCGTATCTAAATTTTCACCAAAGGATTTCATATGCATGTTCATGCTGATATTAATAATGAAAAATTACACAAATTTGTAGTGAAATAAAGAATTCATATAATCTTTCTGTTCCCTAGGGTCGAACGCTTCTCACATACAGCGTGGAGTACCTAGACGATTCCTTGCCCCTCACGCGAACCTTATTAAATCACGGAGCATCTGTGTGGGGTGCTGCTGATGGCAGGGACAAAGACCAGAGTGTTTTTACTTGGTTCCTTAAGGTCAGTACAGCTTAGTATTATCGTATGCTCTTCAAAGCTCTTTGGAGTTTGTTAAAATGCTGTAATCATTACTGTACTGTATATCACAACTAATCTTTTTTGTCAGTTATTAAATATAAGTTGAGATAATTCTTTGTTTGAGATCTATTCTTTGTAAATAATAATTGTTGTATAATAATGACTAATCATATGCATTAACTTACATGATCATTACACAGGCTGTGATCATGCACCGCAGACTAGAGAATTGTTCCTACACTCTCTCTATCCTCTCACACATGATGGCAGATAATCCAAGAAGAATGCACCAGCATGTGCTGAGAACAATGTTCAGACAATCTAGATGTTATAAGGTAGGTGCTAACCATATAGCAGTTTTACATGACAGTTAACTTTCATTCTCTACAAGCTTTATTCACCTGGGGTAGGATTTGTCAATCATTTACAAAACTGGTACATCTATCCTCAGTCATGGCGGCTTTGTTTACATTTATTAAACAGTTAGATTTTGAAGCTTCAAAACCTAAGATTATTATTATTATAAACAATCTCTTGGTGCTTCTGAGCTCAAACTGCTTAATAAATCTAAATAAAGCTGCCATGATTGAGGAAAGATATTCAGATTTCATAAGTGGGCAAATGCTTAATGAATCCCGGCCAAGATTTTCAAATATAAAGGGCATGTCTCATTCAGCAATCAGTGAAGTTGGTTCACAACCAAAATATCTCTTAAGTCTGATTCCTATACAAGACAAGATACTTTTGGGTATGCTTCCTTTCACCTGATGCTCTGTTCATCTAGCAGTAAATAGGTTCCTGCAAGTTAGTAGAGTGTAGTAGGCTATCTATGTTGGCCTAAGTGGACCTCAATAAGCTTAACAGGCTTCCTGTCTCTGACAACTGGAAACCAATTACTCCTCAACCATATGATAAAGCTCTGGCAAAGAAGTCTTATAAAGAATGTCACAATAATGAGGCTGAAACAAATAACCCAACCAATACAGATGAAACAAAATGAAAGTGACAATGTTTTGGGCCATCCTAGACCCTCATCACCACTTGATAGGGGTTCAGGACTGACCAAAAATATCATCACTTTCATTTCATGTATGAAGGTCGGGTTATTCATAAGTTCTATAAAATTACTCACCAATCATGAGATAAATTTCATTTCCAGGTGCTGGGACCAGTCTTCCTGGAACTAAAGACTCTTATGATGCACCACTGGACATTGCCTGCAACGCTCTCCTCCCTCTGTTGGCGTACCGTCCGCAACTCACTCACACCAAAGAGAATACACTCAGGAACTGCCCAGCTGGGTCTTCCTCCACCGCTTGAATCATATATCCTCCTTGGAGAAACCACCGGTAGTCATTCCTAGCCCTAGAGGACTTTCTTTGTGAAAAAGAAACTTTTGTGACAGTTTGATTAAGAAAAACATTGCTGTGGATGAATATACCATAGCAAAATCTGAAATGGATATTGCATATGTGATAATGACAATGTGCAAGGAAATGCTTGCAGTGATCCTATTCATTAGTCTCAGTTTAAAATGCTAAGGTCTCACAGTACAGAGACGTAACTAAGATTTTCTTGCTTATGGTGTTCACACGTGGAAAAATCCCTAAATTGTCTGTTTATATATTTTCTACATGACTGTCTATACATTGTAAGTCTTTCATACATTAGCATCCATCATACCATTATTGTCACTTTCACCAAGTGCATTCATTCATTGATGGTAACGTGCATTGCTTGTTTTATCATCTAGCTAGACAACTACAACGACCCCGAGTCGTACTTGCCAGCACTGCTTGTGCCTTATTCTACAAAGCTGAACCAATACAACATTTTTTTTTTTCCTTTTACTGTCAGGCATGTACACTACTGACAATGCCTTTAAACATAAGAATATTTTCTGAGCTTGTGTAAGGCATAAACAATGACAACAGTTTGTTAAGTCTTCCTATGCTCTATGGCAAGCAGCCCATTCTCTCGATTTGTTACTCCATAAAAATGCAACTGTTTTGCCTAACCAAGAACGTATGTACCCAGGCATCCCACTTAACCTATAGAGGTCAGCACATAAAAAACATTAATTTTAAGAGAGCTTAAAATTGTTACTAATGTGTCACATTTTTTTATGGATTGGTCGACGCTGTAAAAAATGTGAGGTATTAGTCGAGAGGATGGGTTATCTGAGCGAATACTCTAGACATAATACAACACTGGTGAATGATAGCCTTGAGCTTCTCCACTGAGACTTACCTTTCATATTTAAACAGGTGCTAAGGTTTAATACTTTTGTAGCATTTTACCAGAAATTAATAGGCGTGCCAAATAGTAAGTGATATTTGGGGATTCTACAAAGTAATCATTGACACAAGATTTGCTGTGCTCATAAAGTGGACCAGTTGCCGTCAGCTCTGCTGATGTGCTTCCTCAAGAACTAGATTCCAATTATGTCATATTTTACTATAATGGAATAGACAATGGAAATTACTGATCTGTACTGCCAAGCCTATTGTTGTACTGTATTTAGATAATTAATACAGTACAATTAATGTTTGTTTTAATGTCTTAATGTTTTTTTAAGACATAAGTAAATATGGTGACCATTTTTGTATGGAAATTACAAATTACATTTTAATTAAGCAGAGAAGTTGCTTATAACTATTTGTTAGTTGAGACACTAGTTATAATTGTGTTTTAATAAGGGATAAATATTTACAGGAAAGATTTGTGATTTGGCAACTAAGGTCACGAAAATGGTAACAAAACTTGAAAAAGGTATTTATTAAAAAGTCACTACTCCGTGTACCTCAAGCCATGCTGGTCAAAATATTTCCTACAGTTGCATCTGTAGAGAGAGAGAGAAAGATGAATGTTCATAAGATTTGTATAGTAACAAATATTTTGTGTTCTGCTATAGAATGGTGGCATTTTGATAATTATTTCTTTTAAAAAGAGGTTTACGGTTACAGTATTCAAGTACGATGATATTGCTTGCATTTCTCTTAAAATAGTTTGGCAGATTTCACATAATTTTTTGTTCAATAATTGCATATGGTATTTCATCCAGGTCAAAGCTGCCCTCCCAGCCTTTTGTGTAAAATAGCTTACTTAAGCTTTACTCAGGTTATTTTGTAGGCCTATTGTCATTGCTATATAGTTTTATTATAAATTAGTAGTTAAACTGTCACAAGCCCCCATATGTATGTCAGTGATGACATATTCACTGTATGTTTATACTGATTCCTCAACAATACTCAGGTGTCACGACTCACTGTGAATCACAATTCATTCATTCTTGCCCAAACAAGTCCGCCTTCTTCTCATGTACTCAGTGAATCGTAGAGTCTTGTGTGTAGTTAGTTGGTGAGTAGACGAGTACCTGTTGTGGTGCCGTAACTTTGAGTTAGTGTAAATGATTGACAAATGTGTTGTTTTGTATATGACCAGAACAGATATGTAACATAGCACAACTAAGTGTGACAACAAGTGGTGTTTAATAGCTACAAGTAAAATACAAATACTGTATGGACAAGTGCCTCAAAGTCGGTGACTAAAAGAGCCAATACATCAAAACACTGCCAGCAACATATAATGAACATCGGTTCATGCAAGGTAAGTATGTATGACAGAAGACCACCCGACTACACCACCGACTTGTATGACAATGACGACAAGTGACCAGTACGTGGTTAATGGGAAAAAATCACAGTGCATTTACTTAAGACAAGTGTACATTACTTAAATAATAATGGTGACTAGTGACTATGGCCAGGATTCAGAAAGTATTTATGCAGCCACTTACAAAATTTGTACATCATCCTTTAATCATAGTCGCTTTGTTTACATTTATTAAATAGTTGAAGCTCTCAAGCACTACAAGGTAATTGATGACAATAATGACCCTGGGTTGTGAAGTTTTTAGGCTAAACTGCTTAAAAAATGTAAACAGAGCCATTATGTGTGTTGATAGATGAACAAGTTGTGTGTGTGTTTGCATAAATGTTTTATAAATCCTGGCCAAGGCAGACATGATCGATACCAGTGTAACAGAACCTGCCAATTACTGCGAGTCTAATCACCTGACTTGGAATTTAAAGCATCACCGAGACTACTACTGTACTGGTCATTGCTAATGCAAAAATGTTGACTTAGAGGCCAGTGGATGAATGGCCAGTACTTAAGCTGTCATAGCTAATGGATTAATGTGGAAATGACACTAAAGAAAACAATTGGGAGTAAAGTGTAAGAATGTTGGTGTTGGTGTATCCGCCTCCTTTCCAGAAGGAGGCATGATCATGCTCACACTACCATTAGGAAACGTCCAAGACATTGTGAATATTTTATATAAATGTTTAACTCTGGCTGATTTCTCACCCAGTCAAAAGTAAAGAAATGTATATTTACTTATAAAATAAAAAGAGCCCCAAGTGCCAAAAATAAATGGTTTCTTGTATATCCAATCAAATTAAATTTGTATTTGTAAATAGTATAGTATATATGGTGATATAATGTGGTTGGTGTGTGTACTTTAAATTATTATTTATGAAGTCCACAATTATGCTCAGCCCTTTGGGCAAATCTTGTATAAGTCTCTATTGCTCTTTCTCTCTTATATGGATAGGAAAGGAGATTCAATTACAACAGCACACTATTACAACAATTGATTAATCAGGTTTCTTATTTTAATTCTACACAATATTAATGCAGGCATAATTTAAAAAATAATTACTAATCTTATATAATACTTAACACTCGTAGATAACATTTATGCGAGCAGTGAAATTAATTAGAAAAATTAATTCAAATATTGATAAAGTTATTCACAATTGAACGGATAGAATTTGAAATTAATAGGTAAAGGAATAAGACAAGATATAAAATAACACATATCAATAAAAGATGTGTGATAATCATATCACATATCTTACATAATATTGTTAATTAATGGTAATGTCTTCTCAGACATAACAACATAGGATAAAAACCCACACTTAAGTACAGTATTTCTGAATTTTGTGTAAAGAGTAACTTTACCTTAGCAAAGTTTAAATCTTGAGTAATGAACTAAACACAGAATCGAGTATTGTTTAATTCACTTACCTCCAGTACTCAGTCTTGTCAAATAACTTAGATCTTGTGATATACTATATTACCTTTGTTGATCATTAAACTATAGTCGTTTAGGAGGGAATGACATTAGGTTAGCTAAGATGAGCTGAGCTTAGCTTGGCTTAAGCTTAGCTAAGGTACGATTATTTTAGGTTTGGTTATGCCAACATAGGTTAGGTTTGGTTAGGCCAATACAGGTTAGGTTTGATTAGACCAATTTAGGGTAGGTCAACACAGGTTTGGTTAGGTCAACTCAGGAAAGATTAGGTTAGGTTAATTAACATTTTTCACTAATTGGCATATTTATGGCATAAAAAGTCATTTCAAACTGCAAATATGTACAGCGAGCCATAATTCGGCTCCTAAATAACGCTCATGAGTCAGATTTGCAACATTTGCGATATTTTGAAAGCTGCAAGAGGGTTTGAGCAAATGTGACCCATTGCCGTTTTCACTACCACAGGGTTCAGTTCTTGCGCCAGTAATGTTCAATGTCTACATAAACGATCTACCAAATGGCATACAGAATTACATGAACATGGTAGCTGATCATGCTAAGATAATAGGGAAGATAAGAAACTTAGATGAGATGTCATGCCCTTCAAGAAGACCTGGACAAAATAATTACAGTGGGGTCTCGACTTACGATGGTAATCTGTTCCCAGAGATGGATCGTAAGTCGAAGCGATTTTTCCCATAAGAAATAAAGGGAATTGAATTATTCTGTTCCCCCACCCTCCAAAATATTAACTCACAAATACATTTTATACTGGATACAATTTTTTTCTAACTACAATACAGTACATATGTTTATCTTACCTTTATGGAGGACTCTTGATGCGTATGGAAGATGGTGAGGAGGGGGAAGGAGGAGAGGTGTTACTGTTTGGAAGGGGAGTCCCTTTCCATTATAACATCAGGCAGTGATGACTTCTTTAGGGTGCACTCTCTCCTACGTTTTGCCTGCATACCACTAGGACCTGGTTGTGATTCACTGCTTGTTTGTCTCACTAAAAACCTTTCCAGAGATTTTTGTTTTTCCATATGTTTTAATTTTTGTCTGTAGTGAGGCATCACAGTGTCATTAAAAAGGTTAAGACAACAGCCTACTGCACCATAATTTGGGCGAGTCGTTTCAGCAAAAGTTTGCAATTCTTCCCATGCTGCACACATTTTCTTAATTAATGAGGAAGGGACATTCTGTACTGTCTCCTCCCCTGAAGAAATTTCCTCAGCTGTCTCTTGTTGCTGCTCCTTGTGAAGTTCTTCGGTGGTCAGTTCTTCGCTGTGTTCCTCCACCAGCTCGCAACACACAACACTCAGAACACTATGAATGCCACTTCTTTTTCTAAATTTCTCAAACCATCCCCTGCTTGCCTTAAAACTCTTTCACATTTGCATCACTTGTTCCAGGGGTTTTCTTTAAAAGGTCTTCATACAATTTCCTTGCTTTTTCACAAATGATGGCCTCTAAAACTCTATCACCCGCTAACTCCTTGCTGTGTATCCAAATTAATAATAACTGTTCAACATCCTCAAGTGTTTGTGTTCTATGTTTCGTGATTATTGGTACACCTTTTGCCACTTTAGCACTCATAATGTCCTTTTTCTTAGCAAGTACGGTGGATATCATTGACTGAGATTTGTTGTACTGCCTAGCTAGTTCAACAACCCGCACACCATCTTCATATTTACGAATGATCTCTTGTTTTTGCTCTATGGTCATCGTTACATTTGTTTTCATATGTTGACCCTTACCACTGACTTTCTTAACTCATGGCATGATATATAATAATCAGTTTTATGTTCAAAAAGCAAAAAAACACCACAAAAACTGAATTTCTTCTAGGCGTGATCGTCACTAAGTGGGCAGCTCTAGTAAACTGAGGCAGGTTAGCCCGCGTGACTGGAAACCACGCACTCGGTCGTCAAAAACGTGTACCAACAAATATCATTAGTCGACAACACTATCGTAAGTCGAGTCGCATTTTTCGATCAAATTTACATCGTAACTCAAAATTGTCGTAAGTCAAGGTGCCACTGTATATGGAGCGCCACTTGGCAAATGGAATTTAATGTGAATAAATGCCATGTTATGGAACGTGGAATAAGAGAACATAAGACCCCACACAACCTATATGGAATCAACAAATGGAATGCATTTGGCAGTGATGTGGTGGAGGCTGACTCCATTCACAGTTTCAAATGTAGATTTGACAGAACCCAGTAGGCTCAGGAATTTGTACACAAGTTGATTGACAGTCGAGAGGTAGGACCAAAGAGCCAGAGCTCAACCCCCGTAAGTACAACTAGGTAAGTATATATACACTCACTCACACTCACTCTCACTCTCTCCATTTGAAAGCTAGTTTCATAATTAGCTTTGCAATGCTTCATTGACCTCTCTAAACACCACAAATGTACAGCTGTATATATACTTGAGTTAAGCAATGGATATATGCACACACACACATTCATTCACGTAAAATAACGAATGAAATTGATATAGAATGTAGTATAGTTTAGTATGTTTGTAGTGTAGTATGTAGTATCGCCTGCATAGTATAGTTTGCCCAGCGACTGACCAGCTAGCCAATGTCATTGTGAAAACTAGTTTTGTAATTAGCTTTGCAATACTTCACTTAGCTCTCTGAACACCAACAATGTATATTTATATACTGTACTGTACCTGATATAAGCAATGTATGCACACACATTCACACACATTAACATAGGCACAGTGAAGCTTCCCGCTTCCTGTGCCTATGGGCAGTTCCTGCCCCTTCACCATGCCCAAGGGCAGTTCCTGCCCTTTCACCATGGCCATGGGCAGTTCCTACCCTTCATCGTGCCCATGAGCAATTCCTGCCCTTTCACCATGCCCATGGGTAGTTCCTGCCCTTCACCACTACCTTAGCAGGATGACTGCTGTGGATGGCAGTCTTTCAGCACTTAAGTGGAATTGCAGCATATGTAGTGTTGATTTATGAATGAAAGAGTCTGTTCATATAATATTTTAATAGCTCAGTATTTATAAGAATATATATATGAAGACTTTGTACTAATTTCTAAATTTGATTAACAATATTAATGATACTTGTTTGAATCACATGACACTGAAATGGATTCAAGATCTGGTATAGTACATGTAAGGTTAGTTATGCTTACACAAGTAAAATAACTCCTTACTGAGCATCAAAATGGAATGACAAACATCTTCAAAGAAAATAAAAATTAACTAGTATTACAAGAATTAAGTGCCATCAGCACACTTGGCTTCTTGCACTTACGTCAGCTTAATGTTAAAACCAACTATATGTGAGATATCAAATGGGAAATATTACAATGTGTACATAGAATGTTGTTAATACTTGAATGATTATGAAAAGTACATGATGATGCAAAGGTGATAAAAATTACTCCATGGTGACGAGCATACTACTGAATTATAAGACGTACAAGACATATAAGAATTATAAGATTGGTTCATGAAAGGCACATAACAATTTTAACATATTACTCTGTATAATAAACGTGTGGTATTACACAAATGTATACTGAAGATATTTATAAAAATACAATTTTTATATGGAATTCGACACACTCGCATACTGGACTTTGTACCACTTCCTTGAAATAAACCAGCAATGGAAGCACCCGTCAATTGCCACACATGAATGTTTTCAATCATTTTACATTTGAACAGCTGTTTATTGCTGTATGCTACAATTTTTCTTAATGTAAATGTTCAGAAATGTTTGCTATATTGTAAAGAAAAAAGTTACATCCAAATTTATGAGGCATTGTTTTGATTGCATAGCAGCAAGCTATCTAGAATTGAAAGGCTTGTAAGCATTTTACATTTTGTTTATAAGCATTTCATGTTTAAACAACTTTTTCTCATGTAAATGTTTCAGAATGTTTACTGTATTGCATACATAAAATAAATATAAAAAATGCATATACAGTACAGCATTTAATTCCTGTGAATTTTTACCACAGATGTTGCAGTTTGCATCAAAGAATGCTCCTTTTATTTCCTTTCGCTGCTCCATCATGGGATTATATACAATACACACTACTAGATTACAGCACCATATATCACTACATCCCCCAAAGAAATCACTTAGACACATATGGTGTGGGCAGTGACACTATAGTTTAGTGGGGTACTATGGAACATGGCCTGCAAAGCTCCACCCACTAATGGGGTGGACAATTTAAACAGTCAATTGGCACCATGTGTCACCACAATGCAAGTGTGTTAATACAGAGCTTATACATGTAGATACAAGTTATTCATATCAACTCATATATAATACACAGGGTTAACACTCACCTTAACCCTTACACTGGTCCACTTTAATAGGGAGGAGGAAGCACCGCAGGAATCAGAACAAGGATGAAACTCCTGGCTGAGAGACACGACCCAAGGCCACACAAGAGTGCCAAGGCCCAGGGACATTAACCAAGTACCAGGCTGCCAGAACCCTGTTTGACCTCCAGAACCCCCATATCTGATTATCAGCCCAGGACATGTTTACAAACACAGCTGAAAGATAGCATACTTTCTAACATCATGGGCACAAGGGAAGACCACAGGCTGGCTAGACTTCATAACACTCCAAATGACCTGAGAAATACAAGCCTTGGAACAGGGGAGCAAGGAAACTGGATTAATCCAAAAGGCATCAACCAATTCAAATAATTATAATAATTTCTTGAGATGATTCCTGTAAAGAGACTGGAGTGATAATACATTGCTTGAAGGAAGAAAATCATTCCATTAGCAAATATATGAGAAAATATTCACAAAGATACTTACTGCACAAAATAAGTAACCTCAGCATTGAGAAGTAATATAGATAAATGAAAACAAGGTTTTAAAACAGCAACACATGATGAAATCACAAAAAACATGCTATATCTTATGAGAAAATATTTAACCTGTACAATGGGATCAAACCTGCATCTGCGAATGCATCAGGCATCCTGTAACACATGTGCCTTGGGGGGATTCAGGGATGTAGGTTCAATCCCTTCATATGGCTTCAATATTTTCTGAAAGTTTTACAAGTTTGCCAAGTCCAAAACAGTCACCCTGCTATATGTATTTACCTGATTTAACAATACATTTTTATAATTCACAGATGACAATCACTAAGGCAATGTGAGCATGTACAGTAACAGTACAATGTTAAAACTTACAAAAACTATCCATAAATTATTTTTAAGATAAATAAAATAAAAATATACAAGCTAGTGAATACAATCCTTAATATGTATTTAATAGCCTCCTTTCCAGTACAGTATATACATATTGAACTTATAGTACTTCAGTTGCTGGTAAACACTCACTAATTAAACTTACATAATACAGTATTCATAAACTGTATTGTACAGTAACCTCCTGATTTTATGGGAATGTACTCTTTCAGACAAGTGGAACAGTGCCATGTCAAATTTTATGTAGTGATACTTTTACCGAGGTCCACGTCAGTCCATACCATACAGTATTTTATTTGACTTTAAAATACTGTAAATTAAAATGCAGAGTAGACAATGATAAGGCTTATTAACACCTCACATCCCAAAGTTAAATTAATGTAATATTTTTGTTAGAAATGTACAAAAATTAATGCAATAGTGTGCAAGAGACATTTTATTCTAGTAAAAAAAAATAGTTTTCAAGGATTGTTTTGGGCTGAACAGTCAGAAAGGCTCGATAAGATTTAACTTTGTACTGGCATAGTCAGGTCCATACTATAAGAGTGTGATGTTAAAAATTACATCTATAAAGATATCTAAAGGTATACTAAAGGTATTTTAGTATATGGAGTCACAGAGTGTGGGAAATTAAGAGGTATGAATAGTATCTTTAGCAACATAGCATTAATCACGATTTTAATGGTTTTTACACAAGGAGCAAAATTTAAAAAAACAATTGAAGCTGCAGGCAAAGTTTTTTGAGCATATTTAAAACGAAAACTCAATGGTTGTAAATTATTTTGAGTTTGAAGCATTTTCATTTTTTAGGCAACAACAGGCCACAAACATGCAAGTATTGTGAACACTGAGATTTGCTGACAATAATCCATACAGATTTTCAAGATTTATGTAATGTGCAAGTGATCCACATTAAATACCTTAACACACAACCAGGAGTATACACTACATAATTCTGTTAAAATACTGTGATGATTACTGTACTGTGTTTTTAAATGCATCTGAATATTTATTGGAACATTTACAATAATAATTACCTGTCTGAAATTGATTTCAGACTCGCCTCGTCATTATAATACCACGAGCTATATCCAAGGTCCCAATTACATTACCTGACCAAAAGGCTGTATTTCAGTTTAGTTTCTAAGTATTAAAAGGTGCCAAGCCTGACAAACTATTTAGCATAGTCTCAATTTAGTACCTCCCCGGGCAAAGCTGATCAAACAAGATTGGTATAATACTACACTACAAGATTGGTATAACAGTGAATCAACATTGATTAAATGATACTTGAGCGTGTTTTGCCTACTGGTATCCTTAAAAGTGGTATGTTTGCTTAAAGTTATTTATGCTAAACTAGAATTTTGCTTTGAAATACAATTTCAACACAAGATTATAGTATAATTTTATGGATTAAGCCACCATCAGATCATCAATAACCTAATCAATACATGTTCTATAGTTACTAATGTCTACTGAACCTCACTCTAAATTATGAAACAAGTAACATTCATAAAATCCTAAGTTATACAATAGTATTTTAATGGCTTCACTTTTTTCTTGGCTTATAAAATATATCTTACCACAAGCATATCTTATACTGTACAGTGAATGAACAACATGGATTGACAGGAATTTCTCTCATTATAAACTATACATCTTCAAGGCAACCAGCCACCTTCTGTAATAATCAGTTTGTTTAACTTCTCACTCTTCTTGTGGAACTTTGTCATGGTATTTACAGAAGTGGTTGCTTACCATTTTATTTTTTTGACTAGCTAGATATCTTTCATTCAAGGAGCACTCTCCTTATTTATTCTTCAAAATACATACATATAAAATCACAAAAGATTGTCAATTGCATTAACAATGGCCAGTCAACCAGTAGCGGTGACTACAAATGCCATCCTGCTGCGGATTTTAATTGAAGCAACATTAGAACAATTTTCCTAAAATTTGTTATAAAATGATATCTACAATTCAATCACAATAACTAACTACCTGTTCATGATTCTGGGAATCGATATCCCTGCAGGCCGGTCTCTCCAATCAGAATAACTACTGTATTGCACAATTCTCAGCAAAATTTAAAAATTTTAACACTGACAACCTTATTGTATCATAAAAGCAGTATGGTTAATTAAGTGACCCTTATAATGAAAGGATCCATATAGCATAATAGTTTAAAAATATTTATACAGTAAATGCTTCATTATTCGGCACCTGAAAGACATCAAAACAGGTACAGTATTACAATGCTCTGGTTACGAAGGCAAACGATAAGTACTGTATACAGGTACATTATAACCTGCAGTTTAAGGCCAATATTAAACATTAGAATATTATAATCTAATGGGCTGATACCAATTACCAGAACTCAAATTAAAGTATTTTTTGATAGAGATTAAAATAGAGTAAGTTTTACACAATGAAATAACAAAATGCATGGTGTATTTATAAGGAAATCTTTTTTGAAGCAATGCGATAGAATGTGTCTAGGGTGACCTAGGATGCATTGCACCAGAAGATTTTTCCTCTTAAACCATGTTATACAGTACTTTCAATGCCTAGCTATGCCTCTTTTTCTAAAATTTCATGTAAACATAGAAATCTCTGTACATACATCACTAAAAAAAATTTAATTTAAGCCTTTTATTACAGTTTGTAACCATTTCAACAGAATTTTACATGCAAGGGAAAAATGACTCGATTCCCCATTTCCAAATAATACATTGGTCAGGGAAAGGGGGAGGGGGCCAAGTAAGTAATATCAAACGAAGGCACCAAGGTTGGAAGACAGTCTGTGATGCAGAATAGTTACAATGTCCTAAATATCATTCAAGATACTAATACTGGAGGGGGAGAGGGAAAGCCATTTAAACCTTAAACCACCTTCTGTAATTTACAATTAATGCCATATATGAAGAATTGAGAGTAAAATTATAATTATCCAAAGGCAGAAGAGTATGCAAAAAATCTGTACACACACACACACATTAGGTACAAAATAGTAACAGGAATTGACAACATAGACAAGGAGGAATTTTTAAAACCTTCAACTTCAAGAACAAGGCGCCATACATTTAAGCTAAAGAAATAAAGGTGTCAAAGAAATATAATAAAGTTCCCTTTTGCAAACAGTTGTAGATAACTTGTAGAGTGAAAAAGACAGTGAAAGCCATAACAAACAGGTTGAGTGTTCTATGGTACAGATTACTGGGAAGACGAGACACCACGAGCGAAGCTCTCGTCCAGTAACTACACTTTGGTAATTGCATACAAAATCTGGATAATATTATTCAAGACCCAGTTTAGGTATGAGTGAAATCCAGTTTCCATAATTTGAGCTATCACCAAGTGTTTGTAATTTTTCTAATATGAAGTGAAACAATGCATTTATTTTTTATCATATTTGCATATATTTAGACACAAAATATACACAAAATATATACAAATTTGTTTTATGTGCCAATTAATAATAATGCAAAAAAATATAAATAAAATGTATTTGTTATCTTACCTTTTTGTAGCACAGGTTGGTCTTGATGATAGTGAGGCAGCAACATGAACTTAAAGCACAGTCAAGAGTGGGGGAGCACGATGAGTTAGGAGTGGGGGAGCACTATGAGTCAAGAGTGGGGGGGGGGAGCATTATAAGTCATTGGTGGGGAATCTTTAATCATATTTTACTTTACAAATATTTCATAAATCTGTTATACATTCAAGCATGTCAAAAGCAAACTTATAGATCAAATGTTTTCTTATTAAAATTGCTTTTGAAAGCCACAGTGAGTACCATCGAAGGCCACACCTTCCCCACCCCTGCACTAGGTCATGCCAACTGTTAAACTTCTGCAGTTACCCTGAACTGGCCTAAAAGTACTCTATGCCCATGGTTAATGCCAGTCTATCAGTTTGAGACTAGCTCTTCAACCCTGGCCACAGTGCTGCTTACATAATTAAGCATCTAAATCCTGATGCATAATTTTTTATGCCACTCTTACCACCACTGCTCTATATTTTGTTCGCAAACTATAAGTTTGCTTCATTTGCTTTTTAGCATCAGAAACAGCACTAGTACCAATACTATATCTCTTTGCCAGCCACGTTCTTCTCCCACCATTATTTTTTTTATGATAACTCTACCTTAGTGTCCATGGTAAGGTAGTTATTTATCTCGCCTTCCCAGTGGAAGCAATATTCAAGAGTGGCATTTGTTCAACATTGAATCACTGTTGATGACATTGATTCGGCACTGAATTGACATTGTTCTTGGATATTATGCCCACTGGGTTTCTACCCATGATAAACGCTTGCCTCACAACAGGGTTTCAACTCATGAATAATAGTATATCAGGTGAAAAGCCATTAAAAATGTTTAAATAGTGAGAGGTGAGACCACACTCACAAACAAGGACTACAAACAGTCGGTTTGTGTACCCTCACGATAGGTCTGTATGCCTCATAATTATCGTCACATAAATCAACGTGTTTGTGCAACTTATAGTACAGGACAAGCTTAGTAACACATTTATAAAATATAAATACAGTACATGGTTTTAAATCAAATTTACAAATAAATAAGCAAGATTATCAAAAAATATACTGTACACTAGTATATATAAATAATAAATTTATTGGAAATTGCTTTGTGAGATGAACTAATGCTCCAGATTTCATTAAATCCCCCTCTGGAATCCTGATTATTTTTTTTTTAGAAATACCAATTTTTTACAGAAATCTAGTTGGTTTTGGTACATTGTTTTTAATGGGGATCCACTATATGGAGGCCCAGATTTGAAAGGGTGCACTGTACTGTCTCATACAATTTAATGCCATTATTACTCCAATTTAAACAAATAACCTTTGAGTCAGTTTTCAGAATAAAAGAATATTATCACTGTTCTCCTAATTATCTGGCACTTGCTTACTGAACTTCTAGATTAACCATCCAGTGTTTGGTTCAGATAATGTCTTCAGGCCATCCAACCACAGAATGAATAATATGGTGATACACTGGATATGCTAGATCATGGAAAAATGGAGTAGGGGGTCTAAGACCTGCGAAAAATGTTACCTGTTGCGTCATCTATCCCAACCTAACGAAAACAAGAGATAAAATGTTGTGTTTTACATATGGTTCACGAGGTGTGTGACGTTCCAATGTCATAATGTGACTGCCAACACAGAAGTTTTACATCCTACTGGAAACACAAGATCTGGTCCAATTATGGTCTCAGTATGATCTGGTTGATGGCCAGTTAAACCATAGATACACTAGACAATCTCTATTTTTTCACTGGAGTCACTCTCAATTTATTTAGACAATTGAGAAAAAACTGTATACAAGATTACCAAATACTAAATTGTTCATGTAAATACAATAGAACCTTGCTTGCATAAATTTCTACCTAGTGCAAACAAATTATTCTCTAGTCCAAAGAATAGTGCACAGCCGTTTGTCAAGGAAGTAACAAGTTTCCTCAAGCTGTAGACACTCACCAGGACTCTGACCTATCTACCACCAATGTTTGCAAACAAAAATACAAGTGAAAACAAAACAAAGGGGAATATTTTTTATGCAAATAACATCACATAACTAAATAAAACACACAATATACTATCAAAATAGAAGTGATTTCTCATGAGATGGTCACCGGGATCAGACAGAACATGCATGGGACACATCAGGTCAGTCCCATATAGTTCATACAAGTGAGGTTTAAGTCCTAAGCATTCATAAAAATGAGGTTTTAGTCCTATACAATTCATACAAGCAAGATGCTAGTCCCATCCAGTTCATACATGTGAGATACTAGTACCATACAGTTCATAAAGGTGAGATACTAGTACCATACAATTTTTACAAGTGAGGTTCTAGTCCCATACAATTCATACAAGCAAGGTTCTAGTCCCATACAAGTTATACAAGCATGATTCTAGTCTGATACAGTTCATACAAGTGAGGTTCTAGTCCAATATAGTTAATACAAGTGAGGTTCTGTTCTATTCTATTATTATTATTAGTAGTAGTAGCAGTATTATGGGATAAATTTAAGAAAATAAGAAAAGAAAGACTGGGGTGGAATGTGACAAGTCAGCAGGATGGAATGGTATGGAATGCCAATTTCTACAAGAAATTAATTTATATTGGGAGATTTTGAAAATAGTGGAACTGGAGCTTTTCAGATACTATAGCACCAGATAATCAAGCTTTTACTGTAATAATGTATTTATGTTATTGTATGCATTCTTCCTACACTCTAAATCTAAATTTTTCTACATAACTAGGAAAACTATTTATCATTTCAGGGCATATTTAATGAAACTGCTTTAATTAAACGATATTAATAGGTATGTGGATCTGCTCCGAGGGAGGAGGGGGTTGATTGGGGCGGTACATCTTTCAAATGATAACACAGGTGTCCAAAGGCCAGCTGAGCATGGAATTGCACAATAACACTAGTAACAGACTAGTGCTAGTAACATACTAGCTACTAGCACTAATAACAGACTAGCACAACTGTAGTAACAAACATTGAAAAGATGCTAAAATACACATTTTCATGCCAATAACTTTCAAATGTATTTGAACAAATAACCTTTGAGTCAGTTTTCAGAATAAAAGAATATTATCACTGTTCTCTTAATTATCTTAATTATCAATGCAGGAACATTGTTCTAAATTCTTGAAATCAATGTAAATTTACATTTACAGCTGGGCAGATCGTTAAAAAATTTGTAAGAGAAAAAACTAATTATGAAATGTACAAACTGCATAACTTACCTTGAAAATTTATAAATAAGAAATCAGCGTTGAATGTAATGAAATACCAATTTCTGGATGAGCCCGAATGGCTTCCTGACGCTCTGGTGCCTATATATCTAATATGGTGCCAGACTATAAGGTGCCATCAGTCGTGGAATTCTATTTGGCCTACCGCAGACCACGAGCCAGAACCTGATCACCCTTCAGCGAGGTACAAGGAGCAGTGGCATTTATGAAAAATTTTATGGAAATTTATTCAAGACTGCCACCACCAAAGGAAGGCACCCAGAAAATCAGAGTAACAAAACAGACCACCGCTGGGTTAGAAACATGACCGCAGCCTCAAAACAGCTAAAAGAACTCGCCCAACAAAGACCACTGCTTTCTAAACAAGCAGTGGTCTGTTTTGTTTTCCTGACTTTCTGGAAGTCTTCCCTTGGTGGTGACAGGAGTGAAAATATTTATGTAAATTTATTCACAAGTGCCATTGCTCCTTGTGCCTCTCTGAGGTGGCCAGGTTCTAGCTCGCGGTGCCCGGGAGGCTAAATAGAACTCTGTGATTGATGGCACCTTGTAGTCTGGCACTATATCACATATAGTAGCTTCAAGGAGGCACAAGGGACTTCCATCCAGAAAAAACAATTCATTATAGGTTACAAATCCCCAAACAACCTGAATTCCTTTCTCCGAGCAAACAATTATGTGTCTTTCCAACCACAGAACTGCACCATCACATCTGAATAATAATAATTGTACCAATTTTAATGGTAATCAATATATAACAGGTATCAAACTACATGTTAGCAAACTATATTTTGATCAATTTTATCAAAATTGACTCAATGTTACATCAACTGCATTTGCCTAGATTTGCCCAGAGAGGGGAGGGGGAGGGGGGGATGGAGGAAATGCTGCTCCAAAATTAATTGTGACCTATCAAAGCATAAAATATCACCATTAAATTATAAAAATCACTATTGCTGATGATCAAATGAAATGACTAATGCTGTGTAGCAATATTTAAACTGAATAATACCAATTGATCAGTTGGAAAAAGGCACATAATAACAGTGATGAATTATCTATATAAACAAACCTTACTTACTAAAATTAAAATGAAATTTTGATATTCTTAAAATATACCTTACAATAGCTTTTTTATTTTATAACATATATGGATTTATATAATTGCTACAAGACACTTAGTACCAGAAACTATTTAGAACTTCATCGATGTGAAAGTTTTTAATTAATTGGTCTAAGAATACATTCGCCAATGCTAGTAACACCAAGCATGTGAGGCATATACGTTTCACTTGGAGGAACAATCATGGAGGGAACCTGAGCCATTGCCTGTTGATACTGTGCATGTGCCTGCGGATTTTTGGGCGGTCGTCCTCTTGGTCGTTTGACAGGTGGCATTAATGTAGCTTCAGGAGTTGTATTATTTGATTTTGATGTCAGTACTTGTGCAGGGGGAATATTGCCAGCTAACTGAGTTGCTTCAGAATCAGACTCTTGGGTGCCCTCCTCTGGATTATAAATTTGTTTTCGAATTTTACTCAATTTGTCTTCGGCATCATGTCTCCTTAAATGATCTTTGAGCTTGTCTCCTCGAGAAAAGTCTTTACCACAGATACGACACATAAATGGTTTCTCTCCAGTATGCATGCGGCGATGACGTTTAAGATGTGAAGCTCTTGCAAAGTTCATTTGGCAGAATTCACATTCAAAAGGTCTTTCGCCAGTATGTAATCGAATATGATCTCTTAGTCCCGATTGACTTTTAAATTCCTGAAAAAATTATTTTGCATGTAATACACACACACACTAAGTAAATAAGAAATTAATTTATATTAAGTACAGAGATAGAGATAAGTTATTAAGAAAGAATTGGCAAACATCTAGAATGGATTTATGTAATGAGTATACAGTACATAACTGTACTTTATGCCAAAATAAAGAACAGATGGCCCTCCTTGGGTTGTTTCCAAAGCCAACCCAACTGAAAAAAAATTCCAGGGAACACCCTCAAGAAAAACCATGCAGCAAATAGAACCCGGAGATGAGGAAAACCGAATGGATCACACGCTGTCAGAAGGCATTTGATACAGTCCTGCATGAAAGACTCTTACTCAAACTAGAAAAACAGGCTGGCATATCTAGAAGTCCTAAGGTGGATCAGAATGTATCTCACTGGAAGGAAGCAAAGGGTTACGGTGGGAGCAGGGACATCAAAGTGGAGAGGTTACGAGTGGAGTACTACAAGAGTACCACATTCCTGTTTCTAATGTCAATGATCTGACAGAAGAAATTGGCTCCTTCATATGAATACTTGCAAATGATACAAAACTAATGAGAAGAGTCAGGTCAGGGATAGATTGTGATGCACTGCAAGTGAATTTGGACACTCCAAAAGTGGTCTGAAAAATGGCTGCTAGAATTTAACCCAACCAAACCAGAGATATGATGATTGGAACAGGAGTGTGAAGACCAGTACTGTATATCAGTATAGGATGAAAGGGAGACAAATTCCTCAATCAGAAATGGACAAAGACCTGGAAGTAGATATAACCTCAAATCTGGTGCCAGAAGCCCACATAAGCAGAACAGTAGCAGCATATGCCATACTCTCCAACAACTGTCTATCCTTCAGAAACTTGGACAAACTTGTAGGCCTTATGTACAACAAAGGTGGGGCCCACTCTTGAATATGCATCCCCAGCATGAAACCTTTACCTGAAAAAGGACAAGGAGAAACTAGAAAAGTCCAAAGACATGCAACAAGACTCTTTCCGTAGCTGAAGGGACTGAATTATGAGGAAAGACAGAGCACTAGACCTTACCATGCTTGAGAAAAGGAGAGAGAGGGGGGGAACATAACAACACAAGATTCTAAGGGAAATTGACAAAGTAGCCAAAGCAGCATTGTTCAAAGCTAGGAACAGCAGAACGAGTGATCATAGATGGAAATTACACACACAATTGAGTAATAGACACATCAGGAAGAACTTTTTCAGTGTTAGAGCTGTCAATAAATGGAATAGGTTAGATGAAGAAGTTAGAAGTTAATTCAATTCAGAATTTTAAATGCAAAGATGACAAAAGTGTGAGAAATGAGCAATTGCATTAATCTAAGAATGGTCAGAAGGTAGGGCTAAAGCTTAGCTCAATCCTGCAAGCATATCTAGGCAAGTACAGAGGACAGCCATCCCAAGGCAACACACCTGTGGTAAGGATGGAGCACGTCCATAAATTAATATGAACAAACATCCTGTTCAACTTTCCAGAAGCTATGCGAAGCTCTGGGCCGAGATCTTGAAGAAGGATATCATTGAAAAGATGAAAGTAGCATACTGTATTTCCGATTATTATGTGAATGGGAGGAATCAGCAAATGACTTTATGAGCTTGACCACCTGGTACAGCAACTATGAAAGGCAAACCTTGGAAACAATGGAATCCAAACAATACCAGTGCAAAGCTGCAACTGGGCACACCAAATGGGAGCATGGCAGTCAGGGAAACCTTGTCTTCATGAAAAGAAGACCATAATGTAAGGTGCACAACTCATTTTTTTGCAAAGAAGGTTAGAGGAGGCTGTTGGCAAAGAAACCAATTTCCAGTAAAATGACCCAAAGAACAATTACCACTGTAAAACATGCTCATGGACCCTATGACTAAAGGCAAGAGCCAAAAAAAAAAAACTTTAGATATCATCTGCATTCGAGAGGGACAATCCGGAACAAGGAAGAGGGAAAGTGCAGCAAGGTCAAAAAATACCCGAAGCCAAGCCAAACATCAATGCCAAAGCCACTAACCAAGAACCTGTCACAACAGCAGAGCACACAGCCGTGACTGAAATCATGCATTCAAAACTTGGGTACAACAAAATGCTAATGTCCAAAGCTAAAGCTTCAAAGTAATATGTAGTGACCTATCTCATTGAAATGACTTATTCAATATATTAATCACCCAATTAATATTAGGTTTAAATATGAACTTAAAATAGATATAGTGGCTCCAGTATTGTACTAAAATGACATTGTTCATTAAATATGTTTATATATTACTCAAATCATTTCAACTCACCTTTTTACATAATGGACAAGGCATGGAAGCACTTTGAATTGCCTGTTGAAGATAGTAATTCAAGTCTATTCTTCCGTCACTTGTGACATCTGCCACGACCTCATTTGTTTCAACTGGTTCTTCCTTTACGTTCACTTCATGTTTAATAATATCAATTCTTTCTCCCTGAAAGTTATGAAATAATGAGTATTGCATAGTTATAGAACATGAAATTATTTTGGAAAATAAACCTCAGTCACCACTGAAAGTGTTATACAAATATCAGAAGATGAGATTTTACAGTCACAGCTTCTATGATGCCATATCTTCCATTTTCTATTATGCACTCTTTTTTAAGAATCATTCTTTACTTGCCCACACCGATAGTGCAATATAGTGCATTATTACCGAGAACTCCCATTTTTCCCACTCATGCTTCTAGTAGTAAATGAGGTACTGTATTACTCTGCTTAAATGTACCCAAATCAGCAGAGAATTTTCCAAAAATATGTAAGCTATACTTTACACTACAAAAGTGATCCACTTGCAGAAGCTGTATAGTGGGATCAAACCCTGCATACCTGAACATCTCAGGCATATGTACTACATCATGGTCCACTCAGTAGTGCATGTGTCAGAGGAGTTTGATGATGTGGATTTGATCCTAATACAAGTCTTCAATATTTTCTCAACATTGAATATGTTTATCACAGAGCTTTCTAAATCTAAGACAAAAATATAATAACAGCTTTTTCTTACCATCTCTTCATCTTCCTCCTCTTCCTCATCTTCTTCATCTGCTTCATCTTCTTCATTTTCATTGTTATTGTTTCCATTGACAAACTGCTGCGTGGCGGGTTCATCTCCAGCTTCACTGCCAGATGTGCTCGAACTTGTATCAGATTTGCTTGGAGAGTCTACCAACTGTAGATAAAAATATATATAAATCAATATTGTTGTAAAATTGTTTCAGCTTTTCAAGTATATGATTGACAAAAGAAAGATCTCTAAAAGAAATCAAGCTCCTTCACTGTAAATGCAATTCTACTATTGAAAATCTATACAGTATTATGATCGCCAGCTTTCACTTTGTATTTGCATGTCTTTATTTGCTTATATTGTCTCAAACTGTACTGCCCCCTGATGATGTCAAGCAATTTAGAATATCCACGTTTCATATTCATGCCTTGACAATTTAGATTTTACCCTAGCTGAATTTTATACAATTTTATTTTAATATAAACTAGCTGTACCCGGCCATACGTTGCTGAGTGCCTTTCCTAGGCACACACTGGTGATGCCTCTGCCCCTGACAGAGTTGTTTTCCTGGTAGGTTTTTGTTTATTCAAACAAACAGCTGTATGGACTGGCTTCATAGGAGGCCAGCCTATAGTCTGGCCTCCTTTGGAGTGCCTTCCCTGAGAGGTGGAGGGTCTTTGATTCTACTGTGTAACTTGAAGGTTGGGGGCATTCTGGGGTTATAATTGTAGGAATGCACTAGGGTTTGCATGCTTGTACATATGGCATACCTAAGACAGCTTTTGTAGCTTAGTTTCCCTAAAGGTTGTGTTTATTGTTAGTATCTTGGCACTTGCTTTCCATATAAACTCCAGGTATCCAAATAAGGTAAAAAAACATAAGGTAATTGAAAACAAAAGAGAATGAACCGAACATAAGTACAGTACAGTAATACAGTACTAAATACTACAACTCACACTCAATCCTAACACTCACTCTGTCTCCTTCTTCAAGGCCTAAAACATGTAGGTGTTTTGCCGTTCTAAGGAAAGATGCTATATGTTGCTGGTGAACATCTACCTGGCCACGGTATATAAACGAGACCAAGTACAGGACATCTTGTACGGGAACCTCTGGCAAGAGCAGCGGTGCATCTGTGTCCGGACATGTTCCTAAAACAACAGCTGTGGAGACATGAGATGAATTAGACCAATCAGTTTTTAAAAATACAGGGTATATAATAAGGAAGGCATTACATTTATCTATAGCCTAGGGTGGTAGGTAAAAAATAAAAACTTTCATGTAAACATTTTTGTCCCATTTTTTAACACGAGACCTATTCCATATGTAATTATCCACTTCTCACTACTACTGTATATTCAAAAATTTGTTTTCTCTACGTGTCACTAACTGCCTTTATATCACCATTGTACAGTATATACAGTACAGCATATTGTCTTATTATGTGATTTACTTCATTAACCATTTGGATCATTATTATCCAACACAAGTACTGTAGTCTGAAGGATATACCATTAGTTTTCCCTGTGCCAATTGAAGTGTTAGTGAAGATGATGGAGGAAATGAATTCCAGTAAATTCTTCCACTCCTTTCCCAACCCACGTACAGTATGTGATAAAATAAAAATAAAATATGTGTGAAAATAAAAATTATGTTGGTTGTGGTACATATAACTGAGAAAATGTTAATTTTTTGGACTTTCCCAAAAGGATTCCTGCTTATCCGAATGTCCGGCTTATTCAGCGAGGGATGGGGGCCCATATAATCCAACTAAACAAGAGTAGCCAGGGGAATGAGGGATAGTTAGGGGGACGAGAGGCATGTGGAGGCACCATTGAAGGATGAGAGGCATGTGAGAGCCGATGATTACCTCATAACATATTTATATTAAAAATTCTTTAAAGCTAAAATCAAAAATATCTATTGGTCTATATGAGATGCCTCATATAGACCTGTAGGCCTTCTGCAGTTTTCTTTATTTTAATGTCATGTATGAATCACAACCTGACTGATCAGGAATCCATCCTTTGAAGTTTGGTGATAGGTAAAACACTGATATAATACACTATGTAGCAAGTGTATTATCAGGCCAGTTGACAGGTAACCTACCAGATGTTGATCAGTTTGGCCAAGGTAAGGGGGAGCTTGTAATATAAGCCTCTTCAGCGAATCATCATCAGTCTAACTTGGACACTTGAAAGATACTGCACATTTTCAACATTCATCAGCAACAATGTAACACTTGACGAGTCCAGTTCCTTCCCTCACAAAACGCTTCAGCCTTGTTACAGAGCAGACAGCCAGATTCCGGCTTCATCGAGCTTCCACGTTCTCGTCCCGCATTCAGAGCGCCATGCTCTATACACTCACCCAAAATCTGAGCTCTCTGTCCCCGGCCTCACCAGCTCTCTGTCCCCGGCCTCACCAGCTCTCTGTCCCCGGCCTCACCAGCTCTGTGCCCTGTTCCAGGCTTTGTCTTAACTACTACAAGACTTCCCTACATTGCCAACCAAACTGATGGCTGTAACCAAGACTATACTAAGTAAATATAAGAAACCACTATACTGTACTGTACTCTTTGTGCCTTATCAAAAAACATGTACACATAAACTTACATTACAACAGCCTTCATGCAAGTTTTTTGCCTGAAATGCTGTGCATATTAGTGGCTTTAGGTATAGTATATACTAGCGCTATCTAGAAATCCAACATTCTGTTTGTAACTTATTTTGTATGTACTTTTACCTGAATAAACATTATTATTATTATTATTTTAATGAATGTGATTGTGATGCAACTGCACAGACAATGTGCACAAAAAGAATAACTGACAAAGAAGGTGGATTATTAATTACTTAAACAGAACCTAAAGACCGATAGTTAATAAAATTAAATCAATATCATGCACTATACAAAGGTAACCAGTTTACCAGGGAGTTATCACTCCCTGGTTCGAGAAGATAGCACAGGACACCATTGCCAATGCCATCACCCCCAGAAATTGGAAGCTGGTTTTTATTTTCCTTTGCTGGTAGGTTATTTACTGTATGTAATTGTATAGTTTTGAAGGGTTATTCAGATTTTTACAATGTTAAGTACTTTTTTCTGCATTTTCTTTTGTTTAAAAATATTGTTACACACCTACCTACTGTAGATAACTCAAGAGGTAGAGGACTTCCCGGTGTGACTGAAATATGCCTCCATCACACACCTACCTAAATAAGGAGAGCAGAGGGATAGAACTGCCCGGTGTGCCCGTACAATGCCTCCGTCGCATACCAAGGAGACATCAGTGTAGGCACGTCCATGGTGCAGGTCTGACAGCATGCCAGTGAAGGTAGTGGCATGTGAATGCCATCGTAAGTGTAACTGGGTGTCTGCCACTGACTCTCCCATCCTGTAAAAAATGAAAGCATCAATATTTATTAAATTAATTTTCCTTAACTTAAATACTGTACTGTATTAGCAATTGTAAAGAGTCAACCGAGTCCCTATTTTGTATTAATACATTTTCTAGAACATTTTGAAGAATATTAAAAACATTTTGAAGAGTATTCTCATCTCCCTGAGTGTGTTGGACAATGGAATCTAGGATACAGTATATTGAATGGCAAGTCTGGCCTATGTGGAGTACCATAAAAATGTCTCTCCTTAATGGGTACCATTATTACTGGGAGAGCAAGTAAGGGGGGGGGGAAAGGGGTATTGATGTGATACAATTCAGAAAAATTGCCAACATTGCAGGTTTTGTTTTTGTCTCCTGTCATTTAGTCCACAAGGGTTGGCTGTCCAGAAGAGACTAATGCTGTACTTGTCTGTGAGTATAAACCTAGGGTGTTTTATAAGTTAGCTAGCTAGTGGTACTTTCCAGAAATGGGAGGAGCTTATTCTCTCAAAGAAAGGGTTCAATGTAAAGTATTGTACAAGTAAATTTGGAGGTTAGCCTTGAGCTGGGGGGGGGGAGGTATGATTAGAATTTAACTATTAACACTTACACCCTTACACTGCTACAATCACTATTTACAATATCCCCCAGTGCTCAAACCATAAAATGTGATTGACACTCCCGTGATTTCAATACTTTTTTCTGAAGAGGAACAGGAAGAGTAAGGATGAGGAAGAGCAAGAGTGAGGATGAGATAAAAGAAGGATGATGAAGAGGAAGAGTAAGGATGAAGAAGCATAATTTAAAAGAAGAGTAAAGGCAGTAAGAATAAAGATGAGGATGACAAAGTGTAAGGAAGAGGAAGAGTGAGGATGTGAAAGAATGTGAATGAGGAAGAATGTGGATGGGAAAGTGTGAATGAGGAAGAGTGAGGATGGGGAAGTGTGAATGAGGAAGAGTGTGCATGAAGAAGAGTGAGCAGGAGGAAGAGTGTATCTACAGTATTTCAAAATATTAAAGTCATGGGTTCAGAATTCTAAAATACAGTAGTGACGTCTTCAAGCTGGGAGGGATTTTGCAGCCAATCCTCATAGACCCAACGCATCCTCATAGACCCGGCCCGTCCTCATAGACACAGTCCGTCCTCATCAACAAAGGGCAAATGCTCGTTAATCCAGCTGCCAACCCGCCAAACCCATGAGACCATAAGTCTTGGCAGGAAGTGCAAAATAGCCCTGTTGGAAAGCAGACATGCAATAGCTCTAATACTCTTCCTCAGTCAGTCATAAGGATACTGTGCTTGCTTCAATACCTGGATGATGGGGTTCTGGGAGTTCTTCTACTCCCCAAGCCCGGCCCGAGGCCAGGCTCGACTACCCTTCCTCAGTCAGTCCTCAGGATACTGTGCTTGCTCCAATACTCTTCCTCAGGCCTCAGGGTACTGTGCTTGCTCCCATACTCTTCCCCAGTCTTCAGGGTACTGTGCTTGCCCCAGTTCTTTCTCAGTCCCTTGATGGGGTGGGGAAGGTTGTACGTGCTCCTTTGGCATGTATGGGTTTGAGTATGCTATATAGGATGAGCAACCCAGCTAATGTTATTCCTATTAAGGGGCAACCTGTCCTCTTACAAATTACGTCTGAATTTGACCGTTTGCCTGTATGGCCGAAAATGGACGTAATTTGAAAATGAAAAAAAATGAAAATAAATTTTGGATTTTTTTTTATCCTACCAGAGGACCCATAACAGTAAGTTAAGGGTCCTCTGGTAGGTTAGAAGGGCAAGAAATTCTCCTTTTTTTAAATTTAGCAAATTTAGAAGTTTCAAAATGTCATGAAAAACGTTAATTGAAAGTTTCCTCTCTTAACCTTACCGAGTAAGCCAGAGGACTCAAACAGAAAACGGGACAGTACATCACTTTCGTGAGCCTATTTGATTTCATTTCATTCAGCCCCATACCCAACCCATGTGCAGTGGTGGACCCTATACCCATCCTGTTGGCAGTAGTAGAAAGGGTTACAGAGGCACATAATGGGCTCAGGGACTGAACCCTAATATTCATTTAACTAAGTTACAGTCCTGATGAGCTAATTACAAAACGCAATGTATATTGTTACATGAACAATGAATTCGGACGAGCGAGGCCAGTTCGTCGTCTGCGTGACAGAAGCCAAACCAACAGGGAATGACGCAGGTGTGGAAAAGCGATGCAGCTAGCAGGAGGGTGTGTGGTGGGAGAGAGTGAGGGAGAGGGGGGGAGGGACACACCACTGTGGGGTGGGAAGGGTGTAGTTGAGATGGGTAGGATGGGACGGTCCGCCACACAAACAAGGGACTGCTAGAGGAGGGGGGGGGGGAGAGAAGAGAGAGAGAGGGGGTTTCGCGCCCGGCCAGTCACTGGTGGAGGGGGGACCGGGCAACACACAATTTGTCGGGAGGGTGGGAGGGTGAGAGTGGAGAGGGAGAGGGAGGGTGAGAGGTGCAAGGGTGCACTGGAGGAGGCTTCCCTCAGCAACACACCACCAAGCCTTGTGTCATCATCAACAGTGGAAGAAAGGTGTTGGTAAGGAGGAAGGAGGATGTTGATGTTCATAGGGAAAGGGGATGATTGGAGGATAGTGATTAGACCAGTGTACCCAACGAGGCGGAGGGACCCCAGGGTGCGCCAGGGATAGTCAGTCGACGTATGGGAGGTGCTTCAGGGGGAGGTCTGCCCCCCCCCACCCTTTTCCATCCACCCTCCCCACCATCCGGCTCGGCTATACAACTATCACCACCATTCCAACCACCATCACCATTCCAACCACCATCACTATAAATACTAGGGAGTTAAAACTACCTAAAACCCTTTAGATGTAAACAAAACTCAACAATTCGAATCCAATTCAGTACAAAGTTTACTCAGTTCCTAATTCTAAATATACTACCATTTATGGTTAATTTTATATAAAAATTACAGCACAGTACTTGAAACTCACAAGAGAGAGAGCACATTATGCATGAGAAAGCACAATACACAAAAGAAAGCACGTATGCAATATAAAGCACATTATATAATAGAAAGCACACTACGCAAAATACAGCACATTACGCAATAGAAAGCACATTATGCAATGGAAAGCACATTGCACAAGAGAAAGCACATCACAATAGAAAGCACATTGTGCAATAGAAAGCACATTGCACAAGAGAAAGCACATTACACAATAGAAAGCACATTATACAATAGAAAGCACATATGCAATATAAAGCACATTACACAATGTAAGACACATTATGCAATACAAAACACATTGCACAAGAGAAAGCACATTACACAAGAGAAAGCACATTACACAATAGAAAGCACATTGTACAAGAGAAAGCATATTACATAATAGAAAGCACATTGTACAAGAGAAAGCACATTACACAATAGAAAGCACATTGTACAAGAGAAAGCATATTACATAATAGAAAGCACATTGCACAAGAGAAAGCACATTACACAATAGAAAGCACATTACTTAAGACAATTAGGATTTAGATTAAAAATTAAATTTAATAATAATTTTTACAAAATTCATCAATGGTGTGGCTGGAGTAAACAGATGAACAGGTGTAGCTGGAGTAAACAGATGAACAGGTGTAGCTGGAGTAAACAGATGAACAGGTGTAGCTGGAGTAAACAGATGAACAGGTGTAGCTGGAGTAAACAGATGAACAGGTGTAGCTGGAGTAAACAGATGAACAGGTGTAGCTGGAGTAAACAGATGAACAGGTGTAGCTGGAGTAAACAGATGAACAGGTGTAGCTGGAGTAAACAGATGAACAGGTGTAGCTGGAGTAAACAGATGAACAGGTGTGACTGGAGTAAACAGATGAACAGGTGTGACTGGAGTAAACAGATGAACAGGTGTGACTGGAGTAAACAGATGAACAGGTGTAGCTGGAGTAAACAGATGAACAGGTGTGACTGGAGTAAACAGATGAACAGCCATAAAGCCCTTAACAATTTAAAACATAAAATGTGGCCCGTGGTAGGCCTACTTGTAGCAGTGGTGAGCCTACAGTTAGTGTGCAATAGTACTCCACCCTAGAGAGCACTAGAGTCTTAAATACTATCATCATTGGTATGGTATCTCTTGTATTCAAGGTTCATGTCATCCAACCTGTCGTGTTTTGTTTTAATTGTGACAGTTACTTTATTGTGTTTTATAAAAGTAAGGTCTTCCAACATTATTCCCAAATCTTTTATATATATATTTTTTAGATCTTTATTGTGATTTGACTGTGGTTTTTTTTCCGATCTGGCTTCCGTATTTATATTTTAGTTTTTTTTCATATAGGTGGAGCTGGAACTTGTCTTCATTAAACATGTTATGTTATGTGGTCCAGCTGCAAAGGATGATACAGGCTTCAGAAAGCACCATAATATTCAGCGAAGACAAGCTGCCTCGCTGTGGTAAAAACACAAAAAATCAAAACTGGGGCCACATATGCAGTCCAACCATACAAACATTCTGTAACTCATTTTGTAAGTATGTACTTTTACCTGAACATTATTATTATTATTATAACTTAAACGTTGACATAGTTGCCGGCGTGCATGAAATATTGACTGTCCGAACACATTCACCAGAACATCTAAATAGCCCGTAGTAGCTGCCTAACTCACTGCTAAGTGAACAGACTATCAGGGTGAAAGAAACTTTGCCCTTTTCGCCTCCGCCGGGGATCGAACCTGGACTCTAAGGACTACGAACTCCGAGCGCTCTCTACTCAACCGTAGCCCCCCCCCCCCCCACCAAAAAAATGCAAAAAAAAATAAACTTTTGAACCATAAGAAAAACAAATTGAACCACAGGAAAAGAAAAATATATACCTTTGACGTACAGGAAAATAAAAATATATACCTCTGAAGTACAGGAAAAGGAAAATATATACTTTTGAAGTACAGGAAAAAGACAAGACTCATAACACTCCGGAAACTCCAGACATTCTCTCAAACTCGAGTCCTTCCGTCAAGTGGTAGA